AGTAGTTTTCCTACGAGTTTGAAAAGTCTCTGTTTGCGAACCGAGAGGTTTGCGGCCCGAGCCGAAGGTGAGGTCCGTAACGAGGTTTGTAAAGGAGACTTTTTGAACAAGTTCCGGAAAACTGCTTTTTCGCCCGAGGAACTACCAGCCTTCCAAAACCACCCAAGGGCGGAAAAATAATTTTCGAAACTGTGTATGAAATGCGTCTGCAGCGTCCAGTTATTACCGACTGTAATAAGTAACACCGGACAAGAAGATCTCAACGAAACGTTGTAGAAACACTTTTTGNGCCCGAGGAACTACCAGCCTTCCAAAACCACCCAAGGGCGGAAAAATAATTTTCGAAACTGTGTATGAAATGCGTCTGCAGCGTCCAGTTATTACCGACTGTAATAAGTAACACCGGACAAGAAGATCTCAACGAAACGTTGTAGAAACACTTTTAGAGATTTTCGTGTAACGGTTTTTCAGTGTCAGATTAAACGTGTCATAAACGTTTTGGAAACGGACAGTGCTGTTTTGGTTAAAATAAGCGTTTTGCCCCTGCGCTGTATATAAAGTACTGCAGCATCGTTTACCCTATGCCCTTGCAGTATTTATAAACGAAGAGTTAAATACTTTTAGTAATCACTGGTTTTTGGCTGTGGTCTATTTAACCCGCCATGAAGAATTGAACAATGGTCCCGATGCAATAAAAAGGAGACGTTATGATGGGACAGAGAAAAGGTACAACAACTATTGATGTATTTTTCCTACCACTATGCTGTAAATAGTATGTAAATAATATATTCACGACGAATGCGCTACGAATCATGCAAAGGCGTAAAGTAAATCGATAAAAAAGATTTTGTAGTTGTGAAAAAAGTTATCGCACTGTGAAATTAATTTGCACGAAGTGTACTGCACTACTCACAGAAATATGGAACAGCTGGAAGCTAATAGTAGTTAAACATTATTTAAACAAATATCATTTCATACATGATAATAATGTTAACTAATAATCAGTGGATAATAATTATAGCTATCTAAAGCTTTTTGACAATGTGTGATTTTCATACATTTCATAGTCTTAAATGTAGACAGTTATTAATAGATATTATTTTTTAAGCACTTTTTAAAACAATTACTATGAAATAATAGAATGAAATTTTTTCATGAGTGGGGGACCTTGTCGGCATACCTTACCATATGCGAATCCCACATGGAAATAACTGTTGGGAAAATATTACCAAATTGTTTTTCTTATCCTCATGGTCCTCATGGAGATGTAATGTAATCCTCACACGGTTTTTCCATGTGAGACACAACGGTGGTTGTACAGAGTGTACAGCTCACAGCTGTGCAGTAGGAGACCAATTCCCGACTGTAATAAAAAATTATATTTGTTGCAGTTCTGGTATTTTGATTTTTAACTCCATAATGGGATATGGAACGAAGAATGTGAGTGGAAATATTTTACACTTATTGAATGAAAACTACCAAATGTTTTTTGGTAACTCAGACGTATTCAATTCGAGTAATCTACCAACAAGACAAATAGACGTTCCGCAACAAAATAATAGCACGGACTGCGGTTTGTATATGTTACAATTTGTGGAATCATTTTTCAAAGTAAGTAAAAAAGGAGTTGATGAATGAAAACCTAAGATAAGATTAATACGAAATACAGTAATGTACGTGATTTTTAGAATCCCATCGAGAATTATGAAGAACCATGCTCGCTGAAAAATTGGTTCGGGGGTGAAGATATATCATTGAAAAGAGCAAAAATAAAGCAGTTAATTAAGCAAATGGCAGTACGTTATCGGTTGAGAAAGTGAGATGTAGTGTGTAAATAAATTTTATTTTTTTGGCAAACCAAACGTATTAATTATGTAGACTGAAGCTGCAATTATCATCCTACAATTGAAATCACTTCTCCACAATGCCCCTTTGTGATCGTCATGTAAATGTAGTTGTTAATGAGTTATAAAGGAAGAAAGAAAATACTAAATATTTGTAGTTATCGAAGTTCACGTGTACGACTTATGGAATGATGATAGTCATGCGAACAATAATAATAATTACAATAATAATAAGAATAATAGTAATAACAACA